CCCCGATTGAAATCCTCTGGACTTCTTTTTATGGGGATATTTAAAAAGCCAAGTGTATTCCACGCCGATAAATGACTTAGAAGTACTATGTAACGAAATCCACGATGCTTGTCAAATAATTCGACAGAAATGTGGGATTTTCGAGAGAGTTCGCGAGTCTGTAAGAAAAAGATGCCAAGCGTCTACAGAAATGAGCGGTGGACACGTGGAGAATCTTCTATAGATATCGAAAACCCAGTAATAAGTCAATCATGATACTAGCAAACAAAAATGTTTATATCTCAAAAACGGTTGACCTTTGTTGTTTACTAAATGTTTACTAAAGCTTTTTTTACTCAATACAGTGTGCCCTATACGCCATATAAATATTGAATGCTTTTTTTTGAACATCCTGTATATAGTTAAATCCCTATTTCAATCGTTTTCACCGAAAAATGCGGTGAAAGCATTGTTAATTGTAATTGAGTTACTTAAATAAAAGTTTGAAATATATAGGTCAGTGTGTTGAAGCATGGAAAACAAAAATAATACTTGAAACTTACTGTTTTATATTTGTCATATTCACTTTTCTGCATAGTTGCATCTGTATACCAAACAAGCTCTTGAAAGTCATCGTGAAAGATTTAATCATCTTGTGCCTTCAACTACTTCTTCATTGAAATGAAACTATTGATGAACTTTAGGAAAATGTAGAAATCATACTACAAAGCTACGAAGATTTCGAAAGAATTATGAGGAAGTGGTTAAAGCCACAAGATGGTTAATTTTATCCTGCCTCCTTTCAAGAACCAAATAAAACACTAAAATTCAAGCAGTATTATTAAATTATAATTAATTAGTGTTAGTGGATATCTTTTACAATGACCTTTTTTCTAATTTCAGCTATTCTTTATTAGCATAATATAAATCGACTAACATACGATATTTTTAAAGAAAAGTACAGATTAAACTACACTTAGTGCAATATTCAACGTAACAATCAAGTAAGTTTATTTGAGTCCATATTTTTCTGATGTTAATATTTGTCACACAGACTACAGTCTCTATTAATAAGAAATTAAAATGCCATATTCTGAGAGTAACTCGATACATCAAATAAATAAACAGGTTTGTTGAAGATTGCACTACTAATTTCTATACAATATTCGATTATGGAAAAGTCAGTTTTTACTGTGTTGAGCTATGAAGAAAGGATGTCATTTATTTATGAAACAACATTTACAATCGTCTAGGACTCTTTGTTACTCTGATCTATTCCATCTGCGTAAGAATTCTGTGATTTCGCGTTAAACTACTCAATTTCTTCTTTGAAGAGCCTTCATTTTCCTTATTAAAATTGTTGCGGTAAATAAAAATTGATTAATCCTGTTTAGATGGCCCACAAAAAGCACAACGATGTCTGTAGCGACCACAACTCAACTGACGACTACTACCTCCGCTTCTACTACGAAGAAAGCAAAGCCTAACGTTGCCATACAAGACATCAGTGCCTTTTTACCACCAGGGTATAAACTGAAAAAAGAAGACGCGCCTGTCACAGAGAGCTCCCTGTTGAGCGAAATTCTAGCAAAATCTAAGGTTGATATTTCTTCGTTATTACCACCTGACTTTAAAAAGAAGAACGAAGGAAGTTCGACGGCGAAATCTGAATCGACGACGACGACGACGACGACGACGACGATGAAACCCGTGGACGTTTCATCTGAAAAATCCCCTGAGAAAACTATTCAGGATCTCTTCGCAAAATCCAAGTTCGATATTTCGTCCTTGTTGCCGCGGGATTATGAACAAAAGAAGAAGAATGCCACTGATGTGGAAACAAAGACCGTCCAAGTAATCGTTCAGAATTCGACAGAGTCCGATGTACCTGCAGTAACAGAGTCCATCGCTACTACGACGATGAAATCAGGCGGTTTAAAAATTGTATTTCCAAGCAGACCAGGAGGAAGGAAACCTATTCATAAGATCACTACGCCACAACCACCTCGGGGGGATGCGCCTGGCGTCGCTGTCACGCCAAAAATACAAAAAGGATGGCCAACTAGGTGAGATTTTAATTATTAACATTTTCGTAATTATATAAGTAATTATATAAGTGACACATATAATGTTATTAGATGGGTGCCGGATATATCCGGCGTTCGTAGCGAAAGGATCAAACAATTTAAATTAACAATTTAAGGTTCTAATTTAACACTTTACTTTACGTCTTTTTGCTGTGACAAGCAATATTTTCTTATCTATTACTGACTGAGATAGAATTGTACGTCCCCATCATTATATTGAATTACGAAATATTATATAAATATTAATCGAAGAACGATTCTAATAGACAAAATAAATATTGTATAATACTATTATTATAGAAACAAAAAAGAACATTATTAAATTTAATTATATGTTCAAACGCTACCAGTCGCTAAATTGAACAAAAATAATGTTCAAAATTGTAATCCAAAGGCCATATCCAAATTTTAAATTAAAAAGTACATCCAAACTCATATTAAAATTAAAAAATCAAATTATAGAGCTACTACAGAATTTACTGGATGGCCCACTCCTTCGACGACCCCAATCTCGATAGAAAAATTGTTGGAAGCTGCGCGTACTGCGACCATTTCTTCCTTAAACGCGTCGCTAATCCCAATAACAGAAATAACATCGAGCACCTCGACCACGACAACCACGACAACAACGTCTAGACCTACCACTCCAGGAATTTGCGAGGAAGAATGCGAAGTCGCTGGAACTATAAGGATAATCGGTAACGCGACCTGGGTACCAGAATTACTCGATCGAAATACTCAAGAATGGCAGAAACTTGCCAATGAAATTGAACACGAGGTACTTTATTCATTCTCTTATTAAATATACAGGGTGAACCACGTAACTTATACACCTTGATCAACTCGTACATTATGGTAAACTTTTGTACAGAATTACGAACGTTATAGACGCACTTGCGATATCGATAGTACGCTAAGTAAATTGTCGAGAAAGAAATTAAAAGTGTTAAGTATAATAAAGGTTTTTATTAAAAAGTAAATTAAACTGAAAACTTTTTTATTCAAAATTCTATGTTCTTCGATATATTAACATACAAAATCTATTTAATATAATTCTATTTAATAAATTCTATTTAATATAACGAAATTGACCTTGAAATCTTTAAAATGCATATACCTACAAAAGAAACGTATGCACTGCATAATGTGTCTCTTCAAATCATGCAACTTTTACATAAAAAGTGTATTCGTACAATGCATGAGATTTGATTAGAGTTAATCAAAGCTTGCAATTTGTGTGGACCGCTCTACATTATATTCTCCATATTTTCGTAACATTTCCTCGCTTTTTCTCTGTAGATGAACTTCATATTTTCAAAATCGTCGGTCCTAACGAAGTGGTACAAGAAAATAAGGATTGATTCGTTCAGGTAATAAGGATTCAGAGTATCTATCTTCGTGCAAAAACTGTTGCAATTGCAATAGTAAGTTACATTTTTAATCGATAAATGTACGTGTTACAGCGAGGGTAGTATACTGGTAGACTACTTTATCGAACTAGCCAACTTGGAACAGATAGTTAACACACAAGAGTTGAAGGTTATTTTCCATGATTCATTGCGAACGTACAATGCAAACAGATGGAACGATACGAAAACCAAAGGCTCGATCAAGCTAGGATCATTTACAATCGATCCGAAGTATACGGACTTCGTGGGTACGTTACGTTAATCGTAGATATTTATTTTATCAAATTAATAGGTTGTTCAGTAAAAAAAAAAATGATTTCTTTTTCTAGTAATACCTAAAGTTACTACTCCCCGGTACATTGAAAAAGACGATAAATTATTCCCACAATGGGCCATTGCTGTGATCGTAATTGGTGTTGGTGGATTACTCTTCATCATTATATTTGGCGTCTCAGTTGTAAGTATATACGCTATTTGAACAAACATCAAAATGCTAATATGTATAAGATTAACACCCACTGCGATGTACTTCGATGTTTAGCTGGTGAATCGGCACAATACTTCGAAATTAAAGCCATCTGTGTCTGCAATTTACGAAGAGGAAGTAGCAAAAAATATAACATCTCACAGATCTGACTTCTCGAAACCGGTACATACAATTTGGACCGACCCAGACGTTTCTTGGAACGACAAGTCTTTTGAATCAACCTCTAATAAGGTAAAATTCCAAAAATACCTCGTGTAATCTTGTAGGTAGTATATTTTTTATACTTGCATAACTACATTATTCTTTTGTAATGTTAAGGTACTCGTTGAAAAACCGTTTCAAGACAACAAAAAATATAATATGTACGATAGTTGGCGATCCGAATGGAATGGCTACAATTATTACAACGGATCTCACACCAGTAGCAAATACGGTGGTTACGACAGTACGACAAATTTGTCGAGTCGTCATCATCCTGATTATGACACGAATTTCTAAAGTTGACGGTAATAAAGCAAAATTTCTACCAACACTACTTTTATTTAATTTATTCGGTGCCTTAAGTAAATACGTCGTAGGGATTTACCACGCTGTCACGTATATTTTGCTTAAACAATGAAAAGTACCATTTTATAAAATAATCGACCATTTTACATTACTTTATCTTAGGATTCGCTACACTTATGTATAGTATTTTGTATAGTTATTACTTAATATTGAGTAAATAGTATCTTGTATTGTATTCCAGAAAATTGTTATTGAACAATTCGATCAGTTTTACCGCTCTTATTATAGAAATTTTGTTTATTCTAGTCAAATAAAAAATGATCAGTGACGTAAAGTGAGTATTTAAAAATAACGTAATATTTTTGTAATATAAACATGTTCTCTTTGAATTGGAATTATCGTTATTAATAATTAAAAGAAGAAAGAATTTGTTGTGCTCATTTGTTTCCTTTTCTTACAGCTTTACTTTGTTTACAAGATATATATATAAAAATAGTTTTTGGTAATAAGAATTTACACAGGTATAATGTATATATGCTCACAGCCATGTATGTACAGAAACATACAAATATGTACATGATCAAAACAGTTTACCTGGCAATGATAGCCATTCCATAATTGGAAAAACATTTTTTTCCTCGTGTGGTGTTACATGACGTCTCAGTACACTCACAAGTTTTTGATATAGGAAGGAATGTCTATAAAAAATAAAAGTACAATTTAGAATCCTACAGTTCTGAATAAATACAAAATTCAGATAAATTATAACCTGTTAGCTGGTTTACATATTGATAAGTGATCTTGCGCAATTTCATAGAACTCGCCCACTTTAGGATCTAAAAATAAGTATTCAAATTTTTGTTTATTCGGAAACCGAAGATACCTTAAACAAGTTTCTCTGAAAACATACCTGCTGAATTAGAAGTGACGAATTGAAACGGAACTTTTAATGCAGTTAGAAGCGTAGGTTTAGTTTCACTAAAAGTAACAATTTCTATGGGGTACTCCTTTAACATATTCAGGAATTCTTCGTGTAACTTCAATAAATGAGGTGACTCTGCAGACATTAGTATTCGTTAAAATAAATTTAGAAGTGATATTATAAAAGTTTTAATGTACCTTCACGGAGTTCCTGCACTTCCATTGATGGCCACACCAACATTTGTGTTGTTTGCGTTAAAACTGCTACCCGAGAACCACGATGGGGTGTACTATAAAATATTATGCTACGTGTATTTTTACATATATTATTTTTATCGCCATTTTTCCATTCTGTGAGGAAAATAATTAAACGTACAATTTAATTCCAACATTCATGAAGCAATAATAATATTTAATGATCTTTAAAAACAAAGAAATTAACGAACCATCAACAAGCATTTTTTTTACTAGTAAACCACCCATCGAGTGACATACCCATACTGTTGGACGCATTCCAATACCTGCAGTTACTAGTTTTCCGCTATATTCTTCACTTCTTTCGCTTAGAGTGGTACTAAAAAATAAACAGTATGAATGAGTTACAAATACACAAGTGAAACGACATTGGATGCATTTTGGTTTTTACATTCTACTTTCTATTGGACACAAAGGAGTCCATAATGACAAATTTGTGTCATAATTTACTCCAATAACTCGAATAGATGGTACATCTTCGGGTAACCAATCTTTAGGCCAACACTGCGTTCTATGCTTTCTATCGCGATCCCTATTCTTTACACAAGTATCATCCCTAAAATATCAACTTTTTAAGTATACGTATGTTTTTACAAATAAAATATATGTAACAACGTTTTACCCGCTACAAAAATATGGTCCACATGCTATTTGATTAGTATTTTGAGGACAATCATCTAAGATTATTTCAAAATCATGTCCTAACCTATCCCATTCACGCTTTTTCAAGTCATAAGCTAAATCTTTCAGAAACTCCTGTGGATGCTCGCCTATCATGGTCGAAACAATATCATTTTTATTGTCGATTGTATAAGGATCTATAAAAAACATTGTGGTTAAAATTATTTATAAATTTAACTAAGACAGTGAGAAACGATATTAACACAGGTATCTCGTATTTCATACTTATTCAATTTAAACGCTGTAAAGCAGTTAATCAAATTCACATAAGGAACAATAAATTTTATTAATTGTAATACTAACAAACCTACAACCCCATTTCCAGATATATCTTCATCTCTCTGCCTCCATGTTATAAATACACCACCAAGAAGTCCATGTAGAAAAACAACATCTAACTTTGTATTTGTTTTAGTTTTATGTAGAGGGTGGAGAAGATAAATACGCCTTGGATATCTAATACGTTCATTTTCGTCCATATCTAAATTTGCTAATGCACGACTTGCAGGTGCTGATAATCTTATGTCAGAACTGAGAGACCACTCTACTAATGTGCCAATCCATCCTTGCAGTAAACAATGATGTTACAGTAATATATAATAGTTCAAGAATAACAAAATGACAATTTATTTACCTGCTTGAAATATCTCTTGTAAATACTCTGAATGAAGCGAAATATTAGAAATTATTTTTGCAAGTAATATACACATGTTTATATTATCTTTAAAAATTTTCTTTATCATCATTAGTATTGGGAGACCTCCAGCATCTACAATATCTAAATATAAAAAGAAAATATATGAAAATTAGAAACAGAAACAGATTTCTTATATGATTAGTTTACCTTTACTATACTGATCAAGAGAAGAATGATGACATAACGTTTGAACACAACTCTGCAATAAATCTTCATCCCATATTATGGCTGGAGCAGTAGCCAATCCTATGCTTGTTAGATCGTGATCAAATATCAAACCATCCTGTTTGTTTTATACTTTACAGATAATTAAAGTTCACACAAAATAGTTTTTACAGAAGAACTTTAAGGTTTTTAAACAATATTATATACTTACACGATGCGAATCTCTAAATTTTTTATTAAGAAACTGGATCAAACAGGGATGTGTATTTTCAGATAATTTATTCAAATAGAGCAGCAAAATATGTATTTTTTCTATTACATCCTGAAAAAAATATAATATTTCATTGTGTACACTTTCCATAAATATGTGTAAATATATTGTAAAATTCTATTGTACATACATATAATTTATGCTCTATGTGATGATATGGTGGCCTTAAAAAATACCTTAAATCAACATTTGGCATTCTTGCTAAGGACACTGCTGTTCTTGCATCTAACATTTGGGCAATGTGCCTATAATGCCAATCTGTAATATTTACACTTGAATTAAAAAATGCTTGCATAGTTACAGACCATTGCATATTAATGACAAAATACCTTTTAAATATTTTAAGGAATTTAGCATGTAGACAGATTTCAGATGTTCTATTTTATCACCATGTTGTGCCATATATAATAATTTATATGCCACATGACGATTTACTGATTTCCACCATTTCATTATAGTTTGACTGAAAGAAGACGATTGCTCTACTATAGATGATTGTAAATTATTTGTTCTGAACATGAATACATCTGAAATTGCAATAATCGACAGCATTAAAGAAATTATAACCTCAATGCTAATGAAATGTTACGTTTCAAAAATTTATACCTTTATATCTGGGATTATCAATATAAATATATTGTGCATGGGATTGTTCTAAATTCAAGACGTTAGGAGGTATTCCGGAACGTAAAATTTTTGATGTTTGTCGTAACTGGTACATAAACCAACAACCTCTATATACAAAATAAAGGTTATTATTTCAAGTAAATCAAAGACTTTTCAAACTGAATTAATAAATTTAATAACTAACCCCATCACAACAATACATATTCCAGTTGATTTCAAATAATATATATATTTTTTGTAAGCAAACATTCTCATTATCCAAGATGAAAAAATTCTGTTTTGTTACAAAAGGAAAGTATATTTGCATAAGATTGATTCCTTGAAGAATATTTCAAAATATATTTATGTCAAGGTAAATGTATGTTTTATCTGTAACTGTATCATTTGCGGCCTTTAAAATGTTTTAACCACAGAGCACTTTTACCTGGATCCAATAGATAATAAGCAGGAGATCAAAGCTCAGATGTAAACCTTGAATTGACATTTATATGTAGTTCTTCAGAGAATGGTAGGTGGCTCTAGTCCTTCATTGCATTTAAATGACTTTAAAGAAAGTATATCAGAGAAAGAGCAGACAGTTTGAATGATTTCTGTCATTTCAAAAATTATATTTTTTGAAACGACGAAAATCTTTTGAACTGCGTCTACACTCTTCCTGGTTTAGATTCTGAATAATATAAATATGATTCAAAATAAAAATATATTTAAGAATAGAAACGTATAGGATTTTTATATGACAAACTGTTCATTATGTTTTATATATTTTAGACTTTTATGATAATAATTACAGTAATATGCGTTAATTCTGATTCTAAGTCTTCATATTTTCATTTATTTATAAACGAGAAATCTTACAGCCATTAGCTGATATTAGTTTGTATGTAATTGATAATATCATCTGACCATTACTGGAGATGCAATTAGCAATTACATACTTCAAATAATATCGGGTGTCCAGGTCTCACCACGTGGAGGTTGCTGTATATAGAGACCCACAGGGTGACCAGGACAAAACCAGTCAGCTAATCAGTTAATTAGCTAGCCATCCACATCCTAGCCGCCCTTCTTTATCTAGATTTTGTATTCCCCCTAGCATTCACTAATCAAAATTACAAGAAAACAAATCTACTTAACAACAAAACTACCAAGGTAAATGAATAGATATTACACAACGCCCTACAACTTTGACAGTAAAGTTAGAAGAGGAGAAGCATGTCACTACATACTAGAGACTAATGTAGTACATCTTTGACAGGAAAGGGAGAAGGGAAAAATCCATTGATCAATGTAATTAGTCTTCTGTTTCTTTCTCTTATTGTTAAATATTTATTATTCCTATCAAGTTGAGCACTCTTTTTCTTATTCCTTATTACGCTTTTCTTAGTACTATGTTATAAATATAACTGTATTCACACATCCTGCCTGCGCTAATATTTGAAGAAATACAAGAATATACGTGTTTCTTTCTTCCTTGTTGCAATCAATGAAGATTGCAATCACGAAGATTTTCTAAAACATAAAGCGCCTAACGAACAATAAATCTAATTATATTTACACATCCTGCCTGCAGAAAACGCAAGAATATACGTGGATCTTCTTTGTTGTAATTAATGATCCTACGAAGAATTTCTGAAGCATAAACTGAAACATATTAAACAAAATTTAACGAAGTTTAATTTATATAAACATGCATTACTCTCTACTCTTCAAATATAAAAAAAGTTTGTAGGACTTCTTCTGTTGTTGCCCTAACTAAAAATATGAAGTTACCTCCTAACGGACGCGATTTATCAAACGCAACACTAATAGCAAACGCGATTCATGGTTATTCGCAACATTAGCCTGAAAGAAAACGCGAAAAATACTACTTGAAAATATGTAAATTATTTCAAATCGAACGCGATTTATCAGTCGAAACCCTAATAACAAACGCGATTCATGGTTATTCGCAACACTACCCTGAAAGAAAACGCGAAAAGTACTAATCAAAAGCAATCGCGAGGTGGATCATTATTCGAAATACTAATCTATGAAGTATAACAAGAACAAATCGCGTGCACCAAGTGATACAGATCCCTAATTAAAAATCCAGTTCAGCCATCTCAGGCTGCGGAGTATCTCAGCATGCACAGCTATGTCAGCTATGTCGTATCGGTGTCATATTTTGGGCTTTATATATTTCGAAATACTAATTCAAAACGCGTGAATTTACAACAAATCGGTCGCGATTCATTTATTCGCAACATTAATGACACTCGCGGCTGGTTTCTGTACGCAACTCTACCCTGTAAGAAAACGCGAAAGATACTAATCAAAAGCTAAGTTGACTCTAAATACTACTTTCAAACGGACGCGATATTCATTATACGCAACTCTAATAGCACTCGCAGTTGATCCTTATTACGCAATACTACCCTGAAATAAAACACGAAAAATTCTATTGAAAAGCAAGACTCGAAACATGATTTCAATCGGACGCCATCGATATTCATTTGCACGCAATACTAATAGCAATCGCGGTTGGTATCCATTCGTTTCGCAGAACTACTCTGAAAGAAAACGCGAAAGACTCGAAGCAATTAAAACAATCCTAACAAACGAACGCGATTCATGTTTTCATATCCCAACGCTAAAACAAAACGCGAATTGCCCAATTGACACAATGATATCCCACGTTGGGGTGCATGACCCATCGAAATAAACAAACTACTACAACTACAGGCGAGATCAGTGACAACATAGTAATAATGACTCCCCATCTTCGAATTCGAAGATGGAGAGCCATTTGTTGCAGCCCTTTCTTGCGACAATTTGCCAGGGCCTCTCTTCTTTCTTCGGACGGCATTGTCCCACCTGAAACCTATATCTAGATTCGAGATTCCGTGCGATACGTGGACGTTCAACAATTCGATGAACCACACGTCTAGAACCTCGAGGGAACGAGCATTTCGAAGGAGCCTACTGATCACGACCGCGACAGCGAAGCAACGACTCAGAGAGTCGAGACCTGAAGAATCGAAAGCAGATTCCGAAACAAACGGACAGAAGCTCCGTTTGCATTGTCATCGCAACGACTCCTCAAATCCACCTACAGGTGCAGACCCATCACGTACGCGCACGACCTACCCAAACTAAAGTGACGAGATCTGCCCTAGACCCTACTTACTTTGATTTAACATACACACCAGAAGGTAAGTTACCTACCTACCTAGCCCTATATTTAAAAATCGCAAAACAATCACATCATCAACAGACACGCTCAACGATCCTCAATCAAGGCTCTCGGGCGCGACCTAAACTAGGGAGATGTCCCGGGACACCTCCGACACCCGAGGGTACCATACACAACATTCACACTTTAAAGGTACGTACCAGTTCCTGAAATCAACTGACAAAGGCTAGCAATCATTGCGTATATTTAAATATTATATATAAATATTTATATGCGATATTTTAAAGTGATGCAATCATTGAGAATTTTATACAGGTTTATATCAATTTATGATCTCCATTCTGTTATACAAGATTGGCAAGCTACTTTTATTGTATACAGGGTGTCTACGCATAAGTTCGGACATACGGAGGGTGTCAATTCTACAACAAATTTCCAACAAAAAATTACTATTAGACATTTTCTTTGTGTTGCATTATTCTCGAGTCTTTTCACTTTTAATATTTTTTCTGTCTTTTTAACTTGACACTGTTTAAACGGCCATAACTTCACTAAGTTACAGTGGAAACTTAAAAATCAGTAAACCATTCGAAAGAGCGTTAAATTTCCCATCTCCCTGATGCCAAACCAAAAATTATTACGTAGATTTAACAAGTGAAAAATTAGATCAAACTTTACATTGCGAACATTTTTAAAAATTTAACTTTTCCTGTATTCGTTTTTCGGTTTCAAATATTTGGCGGGCGCTCTTCGGGAAAAACTTCCTCGAAGTCTCAGCTTTTGAATGGTATTGTCAAAAAAAATTATACGATGGTATTTTAGGGCGAAAATGACGTTCAAATACAGAAAAGCGTTCAAAATGCCCGCCTCCTAAATCAAAACTTATCGGTTCTCCTGCGCCGAAAACATTAATTTTTTGCTGTGTGAAATCGATCGTGTTCCAATCTCCATATCATTTATCGGTACACCGAGGTTGATTATGATTAAATAGTCTCTAAAAACGAAAACTCTATGGATACATGTTCAAAACCAATTATTCATCTCGCAATCAGACTCTACACACGACTGGGAGAGGCTTGAGGTGCCAAAAAATCAGTTTTTTTCCTAATTGGGGAGGCTCGGGAGTGTGACTAAAAAATACATCAAACCCGATGTCACGTTAATTTTAAAGTGATAAGTCGATTTTTGTTGAAAAATATCGATTTTCAGCTAAAAACCAACGCTTTTCTGCATTTAAACGTCATTTTCTCCCTAAAATACCACCACACAATTTTTTTTGACAATACCGTTCAAAAGCTGAGACTCCAAAGAAGTTTTTCTCGAAGAGTGCCTGCCAAACAAGTATGTCTTTGAAACCGAAACACGAATACAGAAAAAGTCACATTTTTAAAAATTTTCACAATGTAAAGTTTAACCTAATTTTTCACTTGTTAAATGTACGTAATAATTTTCGATTTGACATCAGGGAGATGGGAAATTTAATAACACTCTTTCGAATGGTATACTTAGTTTTAAGTTTCCACTGTAACTTAGTGGAGTTATGGCCGTTTAAACAGTGTCAAGTTAAAGAGACAGAAAAAATATTAAAAGTGAAAAAATTCGAGAATAAGACCACACAAATAAAATGTCTGCGCGTAATTTTTTGTTAGAAATTTGTTGTAGAATGACACCCTGCGTATGTCCGAACTTATACGTATATGCAATATGTCATGTACATGTCATATGCAATATGAGAATATTGTAACAATACCAGAATTTCTCGACCATCGGTAGGCGCGCGGGGTCGGGCGAGCGGGGAACGTTCGCGAACGCTCGCGAACGCGCCCGCATAGTAACGCGGCTTGTTGATTGACCGCGGTCTGTTAGCAACGATCGGGTATAAGAATCGCTCTCGCGGTAGCGGACGCGGCATTCTTTGCTGCACTCATAGGAGAGAACGAGGTAATTACCACGGTCGCCTAATGAGTAAGGAGAGTACGAAGCCTAGCTTTCGGACGCCTTTACCAGCTCAGGAGAGAACGGCTGGAATTACCACCGGTCGCCTGATTAACGGGAGAGTACGGGGACTCTTCCTGGCTGCCATGGGACGGAGAGAACGGCAGGATCTACCGCTGGTCGCCTTCCAGGGAGAGGACAGTGGAGTCACCCGGACGCCCGAGAGTGCTCAGGGAGCGTTTCTGCCCTTCCCCTCTGAGATGGAGAGAACGGTCGGATTTACCACCGGTCGCCTTTCGGAGGAAGGAGGGTGGGGATCGTTTTCTGATTATTCGAGAATCAGGAGAGAACGGCTGGATTTACCGCCGGTCGCCTTCCAGGGAATGGAAGGTAGAGTCACCCGGACGCCTCGACGCGATATACTTTTCTGTTATTGTAAATTTCTGTTATTGTAAAATTGAGCCGAAAGCTTTGTTTTCCGAACAAACCTGTAATTCCTATTCCTCTCCCAGGAAAGCAATATGTACAATTGGTTAATAAATAAACCATTTCCTTTTTCCCTTAGAACCTGTTTCCCAATTCCTTCCTGCGAACCTACATCCCTTACAATATGTATTTAATCAAATAAACAATCGTGAAATAACACATCGTATATAAAAGTTTGATGTTAAAGTTTGGTATTAAGAAATACCACAGTACAGCAAAAGTCTGGTATTAATAAATACCACTTTTATTGTAGATTATAATAAATTCTTAACCGACGCACTTTCACATCCTAGCCACACACACATATATGGAAAGTACGTTGGTGCACGATTCGCTAACCAGAGTCAGTCGCCACACAGATTGTTATTACTTTTATAGACTAAGTCATC